CCCTCAGGGTTCTCTCTGACTAGACTCACTAGACTCTCATTATAGGGACTCTAATCGGAAGTGACAGATCACGTCATCTGGTCGAACTTGCCACAAACCGCAAGCAATTCGACTATTTTGGACGGTCGACTTCCGCCGTGGCCGGTTTACGCAACAGACGGATAATCAGTCTGCTCATATAAGCATTTTTCGTGCAAGATTTTCAGTGAGAAGAAATGTTGCGCGTTGTAGTGACACGCGTGGCCTCAACAGCGCGCACCGCGATTATGCCGCAGATCTTCGTCGTTGGCACGCAGTGCACCAGAGCTGCCCATGGTGGTCCCAAGGAGACCGACGAGGAATTCGATCAACGATACGTGAATTTTTTCAACCGCAATGATATCGATCACTGGGAGATCCGAAAAGCCATGAACGATCTAGCCGGTAAGTTCGCGTTAATTGTCTCTGTTGACAAATGATCTAAATCTTGGACTGTTAAAATACCTCATACTGATGGTGGTTCTCTTATTGTCGTGGATACAAGAAATAGCGATGTGTGTGTAATACGCGGCTGCTCTTTTCAGTTGCACTTTATTGTGTTTGCCTAAACATAAGGCCTGTTCTTTTTGACTGAGCTTTTGCACCAGTTCATCTTTCTTCCTTTTTTCTCCAGGAGGAAAGAAGAGGAAGAAAGATGAACTGGTGCAAAAGTTCAGCCAAAAAGAACAGTCCTATAGTGTTCTGGTACATACCACCGAATGTCTCTTTAGTTATAAGGCCTGTTTTTTTTGGCTGAACTTTTGCACCAGTTCATCTTTCTTCCTCTCCTTTCCTTCCGAATAGAAAAGGAAGAAAGATGAACTGGTGCAAAAGTTCAGCCAAAAAGAACAGGCCTATAGCTTCTATTAAAAGTCTTATTAAAAACTTCTATTATAAAACTTGTATTAAAATGTAAGTAGGAAGATATCTTGTTCGGTCTGAGCTAGAGCTTACTTAATAATATTTTAGTATTTAGTGAATTTATATACAGAATTGAATGTGTATAATAAATTCATACTGAAATATTAAGTATTAAGGTCTAGCTCCAGATCAAATAAGGCATTTTCCTACTTATTGTTAGTTGTATCATTTACATATCAGTCGTTATGTCATTGATTATTGCTTATATTCAAGTCCTTTAAACTTTTATTAAAATTTATTTGAATTTGAAAGTTATACTTAAAGAATAACTTTTCCATGCATGTACTTGCCTTTCATATTGCTATGAGTGTTTTATTTTTAATCGTTAATTCAAAAAGAAAATTGATTTTCTCTTGAATTATCATTTAAACAATTTACATTGAAAAATTGGACACTGATGATACTCTATTATAAAACAGAAAGAAGTTATTTATTTTTATCATGCAAGCATTTTTTAAATCAGGTAGTCACAGACTATCTTTATTTTATATTGACTTATTATAAATGCATATCCATATGTCAATTGTAAAATAACAATTTATTTTGTTTTGTTTAGGTATGGATCTTGTGCCAGAACCAAAGATCATATGCGCAGCATTGAGAGCTTGCAGAAGATTAAATGACTTTGCCCTTGCCGTAAGGTTCATAGAGTGTATAAAAGATAAAGGTGGCCCACATGCCGCTCAAATCTATCCTTACATTCTTCAAGAAATCAGACCCACCTTGGATGAGCTAGGTATCAATACGCCCGAGGAGTTAGGATATGATAAGCCAGAATTAGCTTATCAATCAGTGTATGAAATGTAATAGACTAAAAATATACTGTATAAATCCTAGTATTTATATATTCATAACTGCTGCCTCAGATGCAAACATTGAGAATAATTTGTCAGTTAAATTGAATTAGATATGTATTTGCATTGCTAGCAGCATGTTGAATAAACAACCACAATTGTAATTAATATCTGTTAATAAAAAATCAAAGCTTAATATTCTATATAAGATATGCCAGAATTTTGAGATTTAATTTTAAAAATGTATAAAGACTGTCGAATTAATCTTTTTTTTTTCTTTTGTGTTTCATCAAATGTGAACAATTGAAATATATATATATAGTAATAAAAAGATACATACATATATATATATATATATATTTATAGAGGTAAAATTAAAAACTACACATGACAACTTATTTACACATATGATGGAGAGATTGGGAGATATACATCAGCAGTCATATACACATATGTCTATAATTATCTAAAGTCGTAATACATATTTTTTTCTTGCTTTTCAAATGACATCCAACTTAATTTATGCTCGGTATGTGCTTTGTTACAAACAACGCGGAGGGAGAAAATATAGTATGTTTATCTTACATGTGAGTACTGATATATTACATCATTAATGCAGTTTTGCCCTGATATTTAAAAAAAAAACGCAACAATTATTACCTAGTCATTATGATACGTTTTTAATAGTATTTACTACTAATTTCAACTACTTTTCCCTATAATGTTATAAAAATCTCTTTAGTATTATTACACATGATTTCAAGGGCAATTTGTTGTTTCAATATTACGATCTTTGGAGTTAAGTATTGCTTTGCAATACGTGTAACATGCTATGCATTATCCAATTTACAATTGAATAACAACTACAACTGAATGGTATCATTATTTTAATCATTCTACATGTAACGTAGATATATAATTTGTAATGTAGATTACGTACAAAAAAAGGTGAAAGAATAGAAGTGCACAATTACAAAACTAGTCAATTCAGATAAAAATAATCCTACAATTTGTCACCGCAACATTGAAACAAGATTGCACGCAAAAAATACACTTTTCGTCACTTTAAATATATTATATAAAAATGAGAGCGATGATTTTAAATACCATGACACAGTTCAATTATTTAGTGTAAAATAGAATCGATTATTTTTGATTACCTTCAAGTAGAATGAAGGACAGTATATATGTGTGTGTTGTGAATCCTGGTTTTTACAATCGCATATCCTCCTCTTTCGAAAATCAATTTACATACATTGTAATTTTCGAAATCAAGAACACATAAAAGTAATCTTTTATACAAATATAATTAAATTTTTTCCTCGTTGGTGAAAATCAAATAACGGCTCGTTATGCTAATCGAAGCAAATATATAGTGCAATATAATTCTCGTAAAATAAGATTATGGACACACGCCTTTCGTTGGTGCGTATTAAATTGCAAACTGTATAGTCTGTATATTATTATGCTTTCTTAGTTATGAAAAAACATACATCTTACATTCTATTTGTACCCGTCAGAAATGCTTAACTCTTTTTTTTTCATTATTTCTACTATCGCGATCCTTTATGTATTTTATATATATAATAGCCTGTTTTTGGCATATCTTGACTATTTAGAAGAAATTCCAAGTGGTCAAGAAACGCTCATGAGAAACGCCCATGTCTGTATTATTATATATATTGTTACACAGTGATAAGAAAGTCATCTTGATAATTTCTTTACCATTCGATCAGACTGAACTTCGAGCTCAAATGTTTGACCATGCAATTTATTTGACTCTATGTATAAGCCTTGTTTATTAATTATTTAGTATAAGGGACTACCCTTCAATGATCTTGACCTTGATATATGTTGTCAAGGTCATGACTCCAAATTACCTTGGACAAATTTTAGCCATTGCTCATTGTTCCTAAAAAAGTTATTAAGAAAAAAAGTTCATCAATAAAACCTAACATTAGTTATGCAGTATAGGGGACTACCTTCCAATGATGACATGTTGTCAAGATCATAACCCCGAGTGACCTTGGACAAATTTTAGCCGTCGCTCGTTGTTCCTTAAAAAGTTAACAAAAAAAATGTTCATCAATAAAATCTAACTTTTGGACGCGACTGCGCTCCGATGAAACAAATTCCCTGCTTTAACAGCGCAAAATATTTTCTTATATAATTTTTCTTCTATGATTTTGTCTCATCAATTTCAACAATAATTCCTTAAAAGTCTCGCAAGACCACTCGAGCAGGACGGACGTGCATCTGGCCTGCTTCGGGTATTGAATCATCTCATTATTTTTTGAAAAGCGTTTCCGGCTTCGACTGTGCTTTGCATTACATTATTATTTTGACAAGACTGGCCAAGCTCACCTCGTTGGCGAAGGCCCGGGCCAATTATATATAGAAGAAAAACAATAATTCCTTCTCCGCCAATTTAATTTTAGTTGTTTATTAACCATTGATTCATCAGCCGAGAAGTCAGATTGTCGTAATTAAACATTTATTAAAGTAGAGAATGTTTAAATAAGTATACAAGTTTTTTGTTTCAAAAATACAAACATTTCACTTTAAAAACACAAATTTTCTGCTTTACCAACAATTGACACTGTTCTCCATTTATGTAGTTTTATCAAGTTATTAAATTACATGAATTACCTCTCTGCAAAAGTTAGTTCAGTCAATTGTGTGTGATGATATATTTAGTTCTTTTTCTAGGAATGTCTGCTTTAGAAACTAATTTTTTACGTTAAAACCACATTTTTTTAATAAACTGTTTTTGTTAACGACTTTTTAACGAACAATGAGCGACGGCTAAAATTTGTTCAAGATCACTCGGAGGCATGACCATGACAATATATGTCAAGGTCAAGGTCATTAGAGGGTAGTCCCTTATACTAAATAATTACTCCTTGTATTTGTCCATAAAAATAAATTTCTTTATAGAAGATTAATTAGGAATATAACAAAAAAAATTGTAGTTTTTCTTGTTTTTACTTTTAGGTATCTGTAGGGAAGCTTTGTGTGCCTTCATTAAATTTAAAAAAAGATCATTCTGTGTCGTTTACAAAACTGAATGAATTATTTCTACTGTCATTGTGGAAGTAATCGAGCTTCCTGATAGATTAATTTATGAAATTAAGTATAAACATTTTCATATAAATTGTTTCTGTAGAAAATATTAACAAATTAATAAAAGAATAAGTCTTTGGTGTGTATTCCCATGTATCAACCTGGCTATAAGACTAGAAAATATGTGCTTAACTCACGCAGTACTGGAAAATACACACAAGTATCGGTGATTTACGATTTTCCAGTAAACAGTGCGATAGATAATTATCTTCGAAAACAGACGCATTCACCTGATACGACAATAGACCTCTTTGAAAATTAATACTACATCCGAAAAATTGGATTGCAAGTGAATACTCTCAAGCGTCTATGATGTATCTCGAGTACAAATATGACTAATCTTAATTCAATCACCTTCACACTCATTCATTCTTATTTTCAAATATAACTGCTGTTCAATGGCGCAATCAGCAAGATACGTTACACAGAACAGTGACTCAAAGAGAAAAAGAAAACACAACACCAATCGTTACTAATTTCTTTCATACATTTATCCCTTCCGTATATCACCGTGATACACTGATAGCATGTACAGATAGTACGGAGCAATTCTTTTAGATTAACTAGATTACACTTAACGTGTTTATTCTGGGCTAGACACAGTTTGTTGTTGTTGACTGTCCTCGTCTTTAACTTCGGCCTGCATGGTCTTTGTCAGAACATTGGCGTCCTTTAACGATATTACTTGAAGAACCTGATGTTCTCCGGCTGCATTTATCATCGTCATGGGGTGACCTTGTATAGTAACAGCCTCGATGGTGGTATCTCCATTTCCTGATTCGACCTTGGGTACTTGAACCATCGGCGTTACCACCTGCATCGTACCATCGCTCTGTATATTAGCCACCATAGTTTGATACATACTGGCAGACACTGGCACTGTGATCACTCCTGAGACTGATACAGGATATCCTGAAACAAACGTATAATAAGCGTTCCATGATCGATCCACAACGAGCCAATTGCGTCTGTATTGCAAACTAGAAAATGATAAAAGAAAATGGTAAACAAATATCTCAGATAAATTATACTCACAATGCGACAACGTCAAGAAGCTGTTTGCAAAGCGCTAAAACCGAACCAATACAGTCTGTGCACGATAAAAAGTGGTGTTGTTCTCACTATGCATTCTTCATTCGACAATTTTAATTTCTATCATAACAATCAATAACTACTAGTTTACGATACAAAAGAACATCCATTGGATTACTAATCCTTAATTTAACGCGTCTTTTATTTTTTCATAACTGGTATGACAAGGTCTGTCAGATCACTGTAATTATTCACAAACGAAAAAAACATCAAAACAAAATTACTCATATGTTATAGAGTGCAAGGTAAATAAAGGATATTGGTTTCTGAAGAATAAGGAAAACAAAAGGAATGAAACAGAGATCTGCGAGACCGCTATGTGCCAGTTGAAATCTGATAAAAGCAAAATCGCATATTGCATAAATATTGAACAATTTAAAGACGCAGAAATAGTACCATTTAATTAGTTAAAGGATGCGCTCAGAAAGAACAGATATACTTGTTATGACCCAATAATTCTTTGGTACGCCTCTTTAACTTAACATAAAATCGAAATACAGTCTATCTAAGAAAATTAAGACGTTTATGAGGGATAGCGAGTGTTTAAGCCGTTTGCAGAAATAAAAACTTCAGATTACACAATTCACATGACGTTTTCGAAAAGCATATAAATGTTAGCACTAATATGTTACTTATTTCAAGCAGCTTAAACACAGGCTGCTAGCACATAATGTATAAAAAATAATGGTACGTCAACAAAAAATACTCTATGTACAGCAAGTTTATTTCTCTTCGTTTAATTAAAGTCAGTAAACCAATCTTCAATAGAGTAAATATAATCGTTACAACAGTTTCTTCCGTCATCGTAATTGCGATAGCGGATTGCTTTAGCAATTGTTGAGTTAAAAATTTTAAGAATCCAATGGCAATATATCCCCTTTGCAGTCACTTGTACGTACATTTATCATTTGTTGTAAAAGTTTCTAGAAGTACTGCAATAATTCTTACATACAAATATTATAATAATAGAATAA